CCCGACAAGCTGCTTGCCTCTGTCCTGCACCCCACCCCAGCTGGGCAGCACCTGCCCCAGCGGGAAGGGAGGGAGCGGGGCTTCGATCTGCGCCCCCTCCTTCCAGACACTCCTTTCCCCCGCAACAGACTTACCAGCCAGATGCTGCTCTCCAAGCTGCTGGGCTGATCGCATGCATGCTGCAGCTGCACATATGCATGCAGCATTTATTGGTGACATTAAAATCAGTAACATCTGCCAAAAAAAGCTGATTGCCAATAATGTAAATTCTCCTTTTATTGGTGCTGATACAATACGGGCTGATGTATCAGTGCACCTCTACAACAAAGACTGTAGGACCTGGCATTCATCCTTCCACACAGGAGCCTGCTTAGAGAGCCCAGGCCACGGAGAGGGAACCAGGGGCCCAGGGCAGAAGGCAAAGAGTAGGGCAGCTGATTAGATGCGACTAATGTCCCCACGTATCCTCTCAAAGTCTGGCAAAATCAAGGCACTGCACAGAAAACACAGAACTAGCCCCAGAAGAGCAAGAGCCTAACAGCAGGGATAGGGGAGTCTAGTATAGGCACCAGTCTCCTGAAGTAGACCCAGCTGGTATGTTAGGGAAACAAGGCCAAGAACTACCCTCCCCTGCCAGCCCTCCAGAGCACCATCTCTTCTTCCCAGCCTGCACTCCAACAGAGACTACCCTAAAGCAACTGTGTCCCCCACAACTTGGGACAGGTATATTTCTTCAAGCTTTGCCACACTGCAAGCTCTCTGTAAGAGGGGTTTTCACTGCAAGGACAGGAGCAGCCACCAGGGCTGTTAAGCCAGGCAACAGAAGGGAAGTCAGTCCATGGTCAGGCTCCTCAACCCCAGGGATGGGCACCCTCAGCTTCATACCCCTCCTACTCTGCCAGGAGCACTGCCACCAAGACCCACAGCCCAGGGCAAGCAAGAGCTAATGCCTGCAGAATAGACAGCGTCTGTCCAGCCAAATGTTTCCATTCCTCATGTCCTCCCTGCCCCCTTCCAAAACACCACCAAAGCAAAAGACAGCTGCAGCTTATAAGGAATGTGAGGGGCCCAGCCAGGGACACTGGCGAGGGAAATCAAGCCTTATATGGCCACGGAGGCAGAATCAAATTTTTATCAATGAGTGTGAGTGCACAAAGACGCCCAAGGAGAGATAAAAAAAGAGAGGTGCCAGGTAGGGGCAAGCAGCTATGTAAAGCAGGGGCTGGGAGACCTGTCATCCACTCTGTTCCCCCTTAGAACTGCTGCTGCCCCCAACAAACCCAGCCCCAGAAGAAGAGCTGCCCCAAAGACTCAGGTGGGCAGAGGACTGCTGCTGTACATGCTTTCTGTGCCTTAGGACACAGAAAAGAAAGGGTGCAGGAACCAGGTTTCTGGAGTCTAGAAGAAGACTACCAGCCCCTGCCCAATAATGCCCAAGCTTGCAAAGCAGAACCAGCAGAAGAGAGCCAAAG